TATATATATATATATATATATATATATATATATGCTATTATATTGAAAGGGTGAATTGCCTGCCGCACTCTTCAGGCATTGTTCCTTATACATATCTAAGACTCCATGCCAAATTTGAAGCTGATATGTCGAGGTTTAGTCTGCCGCATTTTCTACTGAAATTTTTAAATTTACCTACAGTACTAGCCAAACAGCCGCTGTGGCGGTGCAATGTTCTGTTCAGTGTTTATCAACTTTTTTTTCATATCTCTTATTTCATTTAAGTTGTCTTGTTGCAGATGAGTATGGTGCTATGTCTATATTGATTATCAGCCTTTTCTCATTTCATTTCTCAATGTTGTGTTACTGTAATGTAGGGGAGACCTGGGTAAGTTGCCACTTGTGACCGATACTTGATTAGTGATTATGCTGGAGCTGCCATTGCTACTGCCACCTTAACTGACTATGGCATTATCACAAAGGATGACAAGAGTCGGGTTATTGGACCACATAAGCTGCGGGATGCGAGACAAAAATACCGATTTAAGAGGCAAGAAATTGAGATGGCTAGTTTAGATAATTTGACGTCACTCTATTTTGATGGTAAGAAGACCGCCACTCGTGTGATGATAAAGAATGAGAAGACCGAGAAATGGAGTTCGAGGATGATGGTGAAAGATCATTATGTCATCATGGTTGAGCCTGGCAATGAATATCTCACACATGTGACTCCCAAGACTGGACACGGAAAGCAGATTGCCAAAACTATTCACGAGTTTCTGGTGGAGAAAAATCTAACCCAGCAGCCCATTGTGTGTGTTGGTTGTGATGGAACCAATGTAAATGTAGGATCAGAAAATGGAGTCATTCATCATCTTGAAATGTTACTTGGTCACCCGCTCCATTATTTCATATGTCAGCTTCACGGAAATGAGCTGCCTTTCCGCGCAGTTTTTTATCACTATGATGGTAAACCAAGTGGTCCTGAGCATTGGCGTGGTCCCATTGGAAAGCAGATCAAGGAGTCTTTGTCTGAGCTTCCAGTTGTCGCCTTCCAGCCAGTCAGTTTCCCTGATTTCCCTGTGTTTAATGATGAAGTGGAGAAAGATCTGTCCTGGGATCAGAAATACCTGTATAGGATTTGTAAAGGAGTTATCACAGGTGTTGTTGAAGATGACTTGGCTGCTATTGAGCCAGGTCCTCCCTGTGTGTCAAGGTGGAACACCTTATGGAGTAGAATCCTCAGGCTGTATGTAGCAACATCAAGACCCAGCCATGAGTTGAAAAGAATTGTCATTACAATAATAAAGTTCAGTGCTCCAATGTGGTTTTACATCAAGATACACCCTTACGTAACACACGGCTCAAGGAACGTATTCCAGTCCCTGCTATATATGAAACACCTGAATAGTGAGGAGACGATAGTGAAGAAGGCTGTCCAGAGAAATGCATACTTCGCCCACACAGATCAACTTCTTCTTGGTATGTGTGCAGATGAGGACATGACTGTTAGAGAAAAAGCTGTCTCAATGATAAGAAAAATTAGAGAGGAGAATCAGCAAAAGGAAGAATGCACTGGCAGATCTGAAGAGGAGGAGGAAGATTCTGATGCTGCTGTTGACGAGAATTTGTTAAACTATACTGATGAGGAGGGTAAAGATGGAGATGGGAATGAGGATGTGCCTCCTGTAGTCAACATGAGAAAGGTGGTGACTCCGAAACTAAAGTGGCAAGCAAAAAACTATCATTCCATGATTAACTGGAGGAATGAACTCAAGACTGAGCCTCCTTACATTGCTTCTCTGTCAAATCTACAGGTTAATGACATTCTTGAGACACCATTAGTGGTGCCCAAGTGGCCAAACAGCACTCAGGCGGTCGAGAGAGGCATAAAAGTGATGACTGAAGCTTGCACTGAAGTGACGGGATACGAATCGAGAGATGGATATATTAGGCAAAGATTATTGTCTAGGAAAATGATGCCAAGGTTCCGCACAAAAAAGAATTTCAATATGAACTTGTAATGATTTTCTATACGGTGTACCTGTAAAATAACATGTGAATTAAATCGATGTCACCCATGTAAAATTTATCATTATCCTGGAAAACATTAAATGACACCTAATTTTTGGTATACACTAAAAGTTGACAAAAAGTCGTTCGCGATGCGGCAGGGTAAGTATGCATGAAATGGCATGAAATTTTGCACAGGTGTTTGTTACAGCCATACAAAGGATGCCTGAAAAGTGCAGCCTGCAACTCAAATAAAAGTGTTTTTTCCCTGCCCCCTAACCTAGGCGCGCACTAGTTTATCTTGCGGGCGGTAATGAGGCCATGCTCTGCTGAGGGGGCTTTTCCCGCGCCCGGGGCGGTTTGTTTTTCAGCATGTCGTGTAAAGGTTGTCGCTGATCTTACATGGACGTACAGTCAACCCTCACTTTACGCGGTACCCTGCCGAAACCGGAATGCTCACTTTCCGCGGTGTGTGTACCCTTTTACGCGGAGAGCGGCGTGAGCAGGGTGCGCACAAGGTCGCCCAGTCATCAAAACATTACCGAGTTCTTCACCCGCCACAGCCGGCCCAAGTCAGTGATAGTGATAGTGAGGATATGGACTTATATGGACTTTGAGGGGTTTGACAAAGAGGCCCTGCAAGCCTCTGTGGTGGATAGTGATACAGTTGATACAAGTGAGGGCCAATAATCTGCCCTCTGCCTCGGAACCAACCCCCCATCCCCGTGTGCCCAGCCATCTTTTCTACTAATGTAAGTGTTAAAAAACCTAATATTATTGATATTTCTCTTAATTATTAATTGTGTGTGCATACCATCATAAAATTAAGAAGTTATTTTTACTACAACGTAGGTATTGTGTCTGAAAAAGTGGAGTTTGGGGGTCGGCCCGGTCTCTATTTCAATTAATCCCATATGTTATGTTGTTCACTTTACGCGGGCCGCCATGGGTTGAATTAACCGCGTAAAGTGAGGGTTCACTGTAATTTGTGAATTTAGGGGTAAAGACCCTTCAATTGTTTAAAGCTCATGGCATTGTTCCTTTACATAGAGACTGTTTATTTTCTTACATTATTTTCATCAGTGAGTTCTGATATGATAATCATTTGTTGTGGAACCCGCCAACACAGTAAATCACTCCGCCGCCCGGGGTGCATAACGCTGATGCGGCCGTATCATCTCACTTCCAGAAAATGCCTCAAATTTCACAATATCACAGTAAGTTCTTTCTGTTAAATATACCAGGGGGTCCGGAGACCTGTTAGGTCTGTTTTTCATACTCAGATATGTTAAGTAACGTTTATTTTTAGTATATCCAATTTTTAACATATTTCCACAAACTAAAACAGTGTCCACTATAATATAACAGAAAAAATCAGGTTTCTTAATTTTTTTCAATCAATTTCGCTCGCCCGGTAAAGATGTATAAGAAGGAGACCACCAGAAGGAATTGTCCAAATTGGTTTAAATTTTGTCTACATGCTAATATGATATTAAACAAAAATGGAAACGACAATGCATAGAAACTAATAGAACCTGACCTAACATACCCATAGGTTGGGTGTTAGGTCAGGTTTTATTAGGTTCTATGCATTATTTTTTATTAATTTTTTTATTTAATGATAATACCATGATATTAATCACAGAAATGGAAACGACAATGCATAGAACCTGACAATCTTTTTAATTACTCTATCCCGCTTCACAATTCTCCTCCCGGCACCATTTTTGTTGTTTACCTCGCTGAATCCCTCTTCAGGAGACGTTTCCTAAATGATGGTGAACGCTTCCGCGTATACCTCCCCGCCATTGCTGATGTATGGAAACCTCAATGTTAAGGGAAGTTGTTGAACACATAAATTAACATGATAATGCATAGAACCTATTAGAACCTGACCTGACATACCCATAGGTTGGGTACGTTAGGTCAGGTTCTATTAGGTTCTAAGCATTGTCGTTTCCATTTTAGTTTAATATCATATTAGTGCGTTGAAAATTTTTCAACCAATTCGGACAACAACTTCTTTTGGTCTCCCTTTTGTACACCTTTACCAATTACCCTTATAAGTTTAATCATCATATAAGCTGCCACTTGATTATGGTTAAAAGTACCAACAGTTTCATGATGGATGTCAAAATACTAAGGGTTGGCGGGTCCGACTAATTACCCAAATGTAGCCGCAATGAAGTCAAATAATGGTCCTACATGAATACATCGGGTTACCAATCACTTCTCGACTAGTATTTGGTGTCACAAAGTAAAAAAAAATTGGAAAACGTAATTTACTTTGAGTAAATAGATCGAGTGCATGTACCGAACCCAACCTAACCTAACCTCGAGGAGTATTTGGTGTCCCGAATTCACAAAAAATTGGTAAACTTAATTTAATCTGAGTTAATAGATCAAGTGCATGTACCTAATCTAATCTAATCTAACCTAATCTAATCTAATCTAATCTAACCTAACCTATCACAACTCAGATTAAATTAAGTTTACCAATTTTATGTGAATTTATGACACCAAATAATAATCGAGAAGTGATTCACAGCCCGATTTACGCTTGTACGACCATCATTTGACTTCATTGCGACTACATTTGGTTAATTACTGGCTCCCTCGGTACATGCACGCGATCTATTAACTCGGATGAAAGTAAGTTTTCCAATTTTTTGTGACTTCGTGACACCAAATACTAGTCGAGAAGTGATTAGCAGTCCGATTTATTCATGTAGAACCATTATTTGACTTCACTGCGGCTACATTTTGCTACATTTGGGTAATTAGTCGGACCGAGGGTTGGCTGCTTTCCTTCACATTATATTAATGCAACCTGCATCATCTTCTTGCAATGCCAAATTTATTTTTTCTTGTTATTCTTCCTGGTCATAACTATACTATACATAACATCAGCACCGAGAACACGGTGACAGGAGCGGGACAACACCATCAAAATATTGGCCTTCGTAGCAGCAGTTCTCCCCAAACATAATGTCCAATCTTTTGCTTACCTTTTTATCGATCGTCACCTCGAACGTTTCATTGTCTTTGATAGGCTCGAGGCTGAATATGAGTCCTCTATTGAATTCCTGTGTCGGGTTACTGCGAATTGCAGTTTTATTGCCATTTGAGAGGTGAACACAACGTCCGCAGCGAGGGTGGAACATCGCGGACATGACACAAACAGATGATCGACACTGCTATCTCAACTAATGCACTTTGACTTCACTTATATTAAATAGCACTGTAGTAATCACAATTATTATGTCTTTCTTCTCGATATCAACATACTTTATAGGTTGCAATGTAATATTGATCAATTATATTTATATTATATTTTATTTTCGTCGCAAAATTAAGTTTCAAAGTACAGTAATATTTACATCAAGGGATTCGGACAAAGGTCAATACCAAGACAAAATTTATATGGTAAAGCTTCATGGTTTATTAATGGCATTTTAAAGAAGCGACATTGTCTATCAGATTATCTGTTTAATGATTATGTATATTCATACACAAGGGGTGATTCTAGAGAAGCAATTAGTTATAACTGCGTAGCATGTGCAATTATACAGATCTTGCTGGTGCAAATTTAGAATTACAAATTAGTAAGAACATAATTAACCTAACTAAATCTACCCGAGAAGATTTATTAATTATATATATATATATATATATATATATATATATATATATATATATATATATATATATATATATATATATATATATATATGTATATATAGGCTATATATATATACCAGAGGACTTTGTAATATGCGATACCTATCTAGTGATGGTTTCCCTCCAACTATCAAACAATACAGAAGCAAAACTTGAACATATCCATAGCATTAAAATATTGGTATCTCAATATAGTGTTTAAAGTGATATATTCACGAAAACGTCAAAATAAAGTTATAACCTACAGGTCTATCAAACTTTATGAAAGAGTTTCTGTGAAATTAATACAATAATGGACCTTTAAGGGAAAATTACATTAAATTAATTTTTTTATAGATTGCACCTGAGGGGGCTAGTTTATTGGGCACCCCTTTAGATCCAGTGCAAGGTGAAGAGCAGAAGCGTTTACAGTGCCCATCTGGGAAGCATGCGTAGTTCATGCTTGCCTTTATGACTCATGCATTAAGTGCGTAAAAGCTTGAAGGGTCATAGGTTTTGTCAGCAAGTTACATAAAGTGACAGAATGATGAGTGTGTGGGGGGAAAATTCCCGGTACAATTTATCTGTTTGTGGCAAAGCGTGGCAGGTCCCTAATAATGTTAAGTGCCAGGCTATAGGCATTGACAACATTGAGGGACATACATTTTATTGTGATTGTGATGGAGTGTACGTTGGTAGTGTCGGCTTCAAGGGTGACGTCGAGAGGTTAGTCCGGGACATCCTTCTTGCCGTAGATACATAGTCCACTAGCATGTCCTCATGGTGGTCAATTGATGTGGAGAACTGGGGTGGATGGGCCCCAGGTGCCCGCATGGCGGTGGGGGACGGGGAGCCAGGGGTGGTATCCTCGGGTCCAATAAGGGGGCCTCGATGCAGACAACTCAGAGACATAGGCAGGCGCGGCTTGCGGTGGCTGGACATGGGCAGCAGGGCACACCGGAGCAGGCTTGGTAGGTGCCACGCCAACAGTGATGCCAGGCGGCGATGGAGTAGGCTGTGAGCAAGAGGGGCACACAGGGGGGATACCAGCTTGTGTCAAACCAGAAGAGGGGGGTGATTGGGTAGCAGCTGAAGGCAGGGGTAGTTTGTGTAGGTTTGAGATGGCGGTACAGAATGTATCAAAGAGTTTCTCAACACGGTTGGTAATTTCGTAGAAGAGGGATATGATCTGTGTCGTGTCACTGGAGGGGAATTGTAGGGGGGCACTGGTGGGAGCACAAGGCCCGACAGCATCAGAGTAGAGACAGGGAGGAGGCCCAGTAGTAGTTGAGTAAGGAGATGGCTGGGGCTGCTGTGTTGCAACCAGGTGAGGCCAAGCAGGTGTTGTTGAAGAAGGAGACATTGCTTGAGACAGAGGAGGGGACACAGAGGAAAGTGGCCCGGTAGGCTGGGGGGGAGGTTGAGACAGCCTTCGGGGAGGCTTTTCTCCTGGGACAGGCGGACGTTTGGGGCATTGCCGTGAGTCAGCATTGTGCCAGCCACCACAATTACAACACCGGGGTTCAACAACATAGCCCACACCACCCCCATTGAGGTGTTTTTTGATTTTCTAGGCACAGACTGAGGAGTTATGGTTACGTGAACAGAAGAGACATCTGGGACGATCACGTCGGCAGCAATTGGTGAAGGTGTGACCCCAATGAGAGCAGATGACACAAAAAGCAGGCCCGGAGTGATAGGGTTATGCGTACAGTGGAGCGAGGACTGGGTGGGCCTCATCAGTGGTTGGGCACCATCACATGTCGGCCCGCACCGCTGTCTACAATTGGCTAATTAGGTGATACCCGAGAACGACTAATGTTAATGAGGGTGGTTCACGGCCTGTTTGCTTATACTGTATAAGTTTTCTAATGTTTTGATTTACAATGTTTTTTTTTTAATATTAATGTTATTTAGTTTTGCTTGTAAAAACATTATGTAAGAGCCATTTTCTGTTTTATAGGATATAAGGTGTAAAACTTTTAATGTAATCTTTTCTTTTATCCTCTTCACCACTGATCGGCTCGTTAGCCGCTTGGGCGATCTGTCACGTCTCTGTCACGCACTGTTGGCAGGTACTGGGCATGCACCGGCTCCTCAATGTGCCTGAACATGCTCCAATGTTACTTTTACTTTTTACTTTTATCCTCTTCGCCAATGATCGGCTTGCTAGCCGCCCGGGAGATCGGTCACGTCTTTGCCACGCACTGTTGGCAAATACTGGGCATGCACCAGCTCCTCAACGTACCTGAACCCGCTCCAGTGTTAGTCAAGTCTTGTCTTGAAAGAGCTCACACTCGGTGCCGTCACAACACTCTCTGGTAGATTGTTCCAAGAGTTTACAACCCTCACTCCGAAAAAGTTTGTCCTCACAGTTTTCTGGACTTGTGGCTTCTTCAATCTTGAGCTGTGACCTCTTCTGGGGCGAGCGTCCGCCAGCTCCAAGTAAGGACACTCAACTGAGTAGTGCCCCCTGAGATGCTTATACATCTCAACTAGGTCCCCCCTTGCCCGTCTGTAGTATAAGCTAGGCAAGTTTAGGCGCTCCAAACTCTCAGGGTAGCTGAGGTGCCGAAGTGCAGGCACCAGTCTGGGGGCCCTCCTTTGAACATTTTCAACCAACTGACAGTCCCTAGCATTTCTCGGGGACCAGATGTGGTGACAGTTCTCCAGATGGGGAAGCACTTCACTCCTGAAGATCGTTACGAGGGACGGACCGTCTAGATATCTGAACGACCTTCTTATAAGACCCAATAATTTATTTGCCTGATTTACCTTCTTCTCGCAATGGCCCGAGAACTTCAGCTCATTGTCAACATACACACCGAGGTCCTTCTCACATACAGTCTCAACTAGTGCAGTTTCCTCATCCCGTTGGGACATATGATACGCCTCCTTACCGTTGGTAAGCCCCAGGTATATCCTCTTACGCTTCGTGACATTGAATCTCAGCAGCCATTTCTTCGATCATTCTTGGAGCCCACAGAGATCCTTCTGCAGCTCTTCATAGTCCGCTTGGTTCTTGATTTCCCGAAATAACTTGGCGTCATCGGCAAACATTTGTATGGAGGAGTGTACAACGTCAGGCATGTCATTTATGAAACAAACAAACAACAGTGGGCCCAATACACTGCCCTGTGGTACCCCACTTGTGACTGGTACAGATGACAATTCCGTGCCATTAATCACCACACACTGCTTGCGGTCATGTAGAAAGTTTTCTATCCACGCTAGGACATTTCCCCGAATTCCGTACCCTTCCAGTTTGATCTTCAGCCTTTCGTGGGGTACACTGTCGAAAGCCTTGGCAAAATCTAGGTAAATATTGTCGATATTGCCACCCCGTTCCAGAATATGGGTCCAAATATCTAATACCTTGAGCAATTGTGTTAAGCAGGAGCTCCCCGGCATAAAACCGTGTTGGCAATCCTTTACAAGGTTGTTTCGTATTAGATGTTCCATTGCGGCATCTCTGATAATACTCTCAAGTACTTTACATATTATGCTGGTCAGGCTCACCGGTCTATAGTTGTTCATGGAGTGGCGATCGCCCTTCCTGAAGATAGGACTCACATAAGCCACTTTCCATTCACTGGGGACCATTTGTTCATCCAGGCATTTACAAAACAGGATCTTCAGGGGCTCTGCAAGCTCGTTGCACAACTCTCTTAGCTCTCTAGGATGCACCATGTCAGGTCCGGGACTCTTATGGACCTTTAGCCTGGACAGGTTATTTCTAATACCCTCTTCTGTGAACACAATGTGGGTCAGTGCTGTTGTCATGATCGTGATAACGGCTAACCTGAAAACCTTAAGGATTCATATTACGCTCAAACGTCCACAAAACCTTCTGAGTCCCCCAGTGGAAACGTCCCCCGTTTTCTCTGTTTCCCCGCCTTTGTTTAGAGGGAACTTTGAATATAATCCACGGATTTAGTAGCAGACGCTGTATGTTAGGACCTGTTGCCATCCAACCCTTTGTAATCAATTTGATTTTGCTTTTGATAGCTGAGTCAAAGCATTGTTAGTGAAGATAATAGTAGGGAAAGAAACTGAGTTCATAGTCTCAGTTTCAACGTCAGAAATGTACAGTAAATTAATTCATCGGAATAGAAGTAGGTGGACTCCCTGGTCTGTTTTGAGTGAGGGCGCCGCGGGCATTTCTACCGTTAATGAGTGCCCGTCCCTTCAGCCATACAGGTATGCCATTCCACGCTGTGTTGTGATTCGCCCTTCTTTAAGTGATTTGACCCAATTAATAGTTGATTGTGCAAGTGTTACAGTAACGTAGTTGATATGCTCTGAGTGAAGTCATATTTACGTCTTTAACGTCCCCTGGAACGTGATGTAGATGTCTACCGTTAGTGAGTGCCCGTCCCTTCATCCATACAGGTCCCTAACGCAGCCTAGGCCGTGTCTGTAGCGTGGATGTTGTATCCACTATGTCTGGGGAGATGTCCGAGGTCCAGTAGGATCAGTTACCTTCGTGAGACCCGGCCGTCAGACACTTCAGACTACCTATAGC